CATACAGAAACCCACACATACATACATACCTACCTACCTACCTACCTACCTACCTACCGACCTACCTACCTACCTACCTACCTACCTACCTACCTACCTACCTGCCTACAGCGACCTAGCCGCCTGCCTATTTGCTTCAAAAAAAACTACACATGCCTGCCTATGCCTGGTTTTCTACTCACCTACCATCCCTTACCTCCCTAGTTCTAATTCGTTCCTGCTTACACATACACCTACGACACATACACCTATCCCAAGCTGCAGACTCGCCCTGAAGCTGAAACTCGGAAGGCCACCCACCTTTTCGAACCCCTATACTCAGCTGCAATCCATTCGAAGCAACATGTACCCAGCACAACACACTCTAAATTGCCACAAACCAATATAAGATATTATTATGTATATTATGGTCTACAATCAAGTAATCGATCGATAATCCCTTGGTCCTGCCTGAAGTACTACAAGAAAGATGTGCCAAAAGCAAAAAAACCTATTAAGCTAAATTCCGCCCATCCCCAAACCCCAATAGGCCCAAACTCCCTTCCTTCAACATAAACGATCGCGACGAATCCAAGAACCCTACAATAGCATGCAGTGTAATCTTTCTGACCAGCCGCAATAACCCTAAACTGACATGCACACTTAGACCTTGCCCGAATTCGGATTGAAGAACTCCACAACTCCAAAGCCTAGTCTGATTGTCTAGTACGATTAGACCTCTCACCAGCCAATATCTTGTCGAAAAACCTAAACCACAGCCTACACCCCGGTCTTATATTTGTAATCGCAAACCCTAGCCGGCCCCAGCCGAAACTGCCACCCAGTGGCCAGATCCCTAAAACCCTACATTTCCCCGTAGCTTAAATGCCGGCCCTGTCAAAATTTAAATAATCTCTAGGTTGAAATCTAGAACCCGAAACCGCAATCGAAGCCTGACTCGCCCGGGAATGCAAGACGGATCCGTAGCTGAACCTCCGGGTTCGGCAGAGTTTATAGACTTCAGCTACAATGCAACTGTATAGAAAGAAGTCGAGCATAGGGCAGCTAGCAGACCAGAATTAGCAAGTGACAGTGTCTTCAAGAATAGGCTTTAATGGCTTGCCGAGTTTGGACAAGGGACTCGGGTTTGTGTTTCTAGCTACAGGTTTTCGGTTTCTGGGTTTGAGGCTAGGGTGCTTTTCCTCGAAAGAGTTTGGGCTAGGCTTTGGGGATGTGTGGCAGGATGTGGCATGGGATACCATGACTTGCTCAAGGCGGTATTCAAGCTGGGATTTGCTACGGCTTGCTCTTGAAAACTAAACAGCCCCTTAAACCTTCCCTCTATACCCCTAATCGTAGAACCAAAAGCCCGAAGTCTCAGCAAGCAGTGATCCTGATCCAAGGCATTGAACAAGCCTGGCGACTCCATCGTGTAACCGCTGGAGGCCATCAGATCTTCATCGTCCTGTTGCCGGCACCATCAAATTGATTTAGGGTTGGGGCTGCACAAGTCTTGGCCTATCTTTACAATTAATTGCACATTAGTTTGCCATGTAGATGCAGAACTATCATATATAAGTACTTGATTGTATGTGTGCATTGCCGTGCTTACCAGCTTCTTGTGAATCTACATCTCCGGTTGCAATGCAAAAATGTCAGGCTATGTTTACCGTGTGATCCCGTATATACTGCACGTTATTATACGTGGGCATCATCAACATGAACATCATCGTCACTATCAAGATCAGCCTAAACAGAATCATAGTAAGAGTCGCACAAATCCGATAACTGCATACTTTGTACAATTGCTCTTGGCACCCTGACAGTCTCACGTGCTCCGAATTACTCCCGAATCGAAAGAGCAACTCACCCATACACCAACACACCCCTTGGTCGTAGACACCTGCACACCCGGAGGCCTCGGGATGACCTTTCTGGACATCTGGTTGGATGGCAGACGGCTGGGCCACATGGTGAACATGCACCCTGGTGCAACCTCTAAACCCGAAGCTGTAATTCGAAGCATAAAGCGCTTTGACCCGGGGCCCGACACAACATCAAACCTGGGCCTGGTTTTCTGTGGTCGCATCCTGATGAAATTAGTCAAGGCAATTGCAATAGATCGGAAGCAGGACTTCAAGACTTTGAGCCATTCGAAATCAGTATCATATCGATTGCATTGGCAGCCCGACAACTGCACCCAAGCATTTAGGGTTCATTTTTTGGTTTGGGGGGTGGAGAGTTTGGGCTTCGGGAAAGTTTAGGGTTTGGGACTTATGCAGATGCTCGAGCACACCAAAGCTTCGGCGGTGAGATTTTGATCCACTTGCGGGGATTGTTGCGAGTAAGGCTGCATTGAATTTTTCCAATGCGGCAATTTCAAATTACTGCCACCACTGCCTAAGGCTTCAAAGACTATGACTATGAGCTAATTGGAGCCGGAGGCTAGTACATATAGAATGTACCCATATACATAACATCTGTTTTAATCAAGAGGTTCCTGTACCCAGGGAAACTAGGTCTGGCCTACGAAGTGGTTAAAGTGGCAGCCCAGATAGATGTTGAAACATCAACAGTCGGCTCTGGTACCGGCGGCCAATCTGCTGCGAGCAAGATCAAGAATGTGCAAACTGCTAGCCCCAACAGCCTATATACTGCAAGATTACACACGACCCTTGCACTGCACAGCATATTAGCCCTAGCTAGATGGCCAGGCTTGTAACGTCCTGAAAATATTGAAGCTTTGCGGTGTCAGGAGCCGCCTACTTGGACTTTCTCCTGCTCTTCTTGGATCCAGCACCCTGGAGTGGCGACGAGGGGCGTGGGCAACAAAGGGCTCGGATGGGGCCCTGAATCTTTAAGCTTAAGGGTTTAGGGTTCAGGGGCCTAGGGGTTTAGGGTTTAGTGTTCAGAGTTCAGGGTTTTATGTTTAATTGTATGCAACTACACCGTGGGATCGGACTCGGATCAACTTCTCTAGATCGACCATAGACCCCTGCCCTGAAGGTTACATCAAAATCTTTGACGACAAGTACAGCTAGGCTTGGCCTCATGTACATCTTGAAGATTCTTGTGCTTGCAATGCACATCTCCTGTAAAACCCTCGCTCCGAAAGACGACTATTATGATTAGATATCTAACTTTAAGCCCACCCCTAAATTCGAAGCCCGAGCATGCAACAATCCATGACACCTGTGCGTGGCACGGCCGTTGTAACTAATAACAACACTATAGATCTAGTTCCATGCCGATGCAATGGAGCCGGCGGCACTCAAGTAATGTGCCCCCTCATCATCTCTCTACCCTAAACGAATCGACAACAGAATATGTGTACTCTTAAGCTTAAGCTAAGGCTTGGGGTTTATTGATATAAAGCCTGGAAGCCTATAGCTGCTAGGGCCTGCCCCCCAATCTTTATGCTAGATCGGGTACAAACCCTCACGATGCAGCGAAGCCTCGCCACCCACGTCGTTCTCCGACTCGAGCGGGTCCACATCTCCAATCCACCCAGCCAGGAAGGTCGCCAAGGCCCACCTTGGAACGAGAAGCTTATTACTCCAGCTAATATATAATCATATCTGCTCATGACATGCTACTTTTGCTGTTGAGCTTCGCTCGGGAGGCACCGCCGTGCTTCAGCCACGACACCGTGGACCCCTTCTTTTTGTCAACTTTCACCTGGGAGGCGAACGGAGACACCAAGCTTTAAAGTTAATGACCGTGTCAACACTCATGAAATATTTTGCTATGGCATACTAGGTAATTATCACAGGCAAGATGCAGCATGAGCTTCGGCATCGGCTTTCTTGACACATCTCTGCACATAGAAGCAGCCGGTGTACAAAGCAACCGTGATGGGATTGATCTCTGGGTTATCCACTTCGCCACGGGGTGGCCAAACAGTAAAGCTCCTCAGATTGATAAGGCTACTTGCTAGTACGGTCTATCATGTACATACGTACACACATGATCAGCATGAACTGCCACGGCCGTGATTACTTATTCCACCAAGTCTCTTGGCTGTGAATCCCACCTGTGGTTGCAACTCCGGGTGCTTTCCAGCCAGAGACCTTATCACAATAAGGTTCTTGTCCGCCACGGCCTGTGACTTCTCCATGGATGCCGCCTGCTGAGCCAACTGCTCCGGAGTCATGTTGCGTCTGGCTCTGGCCCTTCTGCCTGGCCGTGCCACTGGCTCAGGCCCTGCGGCTGGCACTTCCGGAAGCCCACCGTCTGTCAAGTCCTCTGCTGCTTTGCCAAGGTCCGGGTCGTCCTGGTCACCGTCTGCGAAGTCCTCTGCTGCTTTGCGGTCCGACTCGTCAAGCTGCTCACCATCTGCGAAGTCCTCTGCTGCTTTGCAAAGGTCGGACTCGTCCTGCTGCTCACCGTTTGCGAAGTCCTCTGCTGGCTTCTTGGCCCGTTTGGGCTTCTTATGGCCTGGGTCACTGTCGACAGGAGCCTCCTTCGTAGCAGGCGGCGGGGTCACAATTTCCTCGTCGAGCTCGGCCACAGACAAACTTCTTTTCTTGCCCTTGCCCTTGCCCTTTCCTTTTCCCTTCCCAGGCGCCTGCACACAGTACTTACAGTTAGAGCGAAAAAAAGATAAGCATGATCACTGGCTAGCTGTATTGCATCGCACGATGCATTAGTTCTGGCCTTCGCCGCTTTTGCTGCTTGCTTGATCTCTCGTTGCTTGGTGAGGGTGGGGTTTGCATCGATCTCGTCGCTGGAGTTGCTCGGCGTAAGAAGCTCTAGTAGCTCGGAGGGCAGATCGGCCGTAGTTGGCACCATTGCTTTCCGATCGCGATCCTGAAATCTAAAATTATTGAATGTATAAATGAATTGTGTCGACTGCATATATATGCAACAATTCAAGCTTAAGTATACCTTGGCATTGATCAATCGCTATGTATTGTAATAATACTATACATGTGCAGGCATAAAATTACACAGATCTAGTCGACTAGATCTACATATTGATGCTAGAACTAGCTACATAGATGGGGCCAGCTAGCTTGCTTGCAGGTCGCCTTCCAGCCCATAGCCGCTCCACTGGCGTTCTTCTTGTCCTCGAGCATCTCAGCCTCGATGCTTCATCCGATTAGCTTGTGCAGATGTCGATGTCCCTTGGCTTATATTTTGTTTAATAAGGGCTCGTGAATTTCGAAATTTGGGGATTGCGGGTTTGGTGCTAGAGTCAGCCAGAGCTTCAGCATATGTAGCTGTGTAGCTACAGCTTAACTAGCATATATAGCTAGGGTTTCCGATCGGATTGTATATTGTACTTGATCAATCATGTCCCGGGACAGAGTCGTCCTTCTCGAAATCTTCCATTTCCTTTGCCGTGAGAACTTCGGAGGGGTGTGGCACATCCTTAGTTTTATGAAGGCATGCACAATGCCGCTGCAGCTAGATAGAATTCGCGGCAGATTAGAACATAATGGGAATGAGGAAATCATAAACCTAGCCACCTCGGGCCCTGCAAAGTCTTCATCGGTGAGCTGGATCGTTTCTTCAAGCGACAGATCCTGGGTCCAGCCATGTCTGACTTCTCAGCTTGCAACTATTAGAATTATAGTGCAAATGGTCTTCAGGAAATCATAAATCAAGCAACCTCGGGCACTGCAAAGTCTTCCTCGGTGAGCTTGATCATCTCTTCGAGCGACAGATCCTGGGATCACTAGCCAGCACCAGCACCATGACCCCATGAACATGCATCAAAGCATAAGTTGAATAAGCCTGGTGACTTTCGTGACCTCGCAGTCCCCAAGGTCTTCCCCGTCCTTGCTCAGGGACTGTGACGATAGCAGGCGGTGCATCTCCATGTCCAGGTCCTTGTATATTTCACTCGCAACCACAATCAAAGGCAAACATCACCAGGGTACTGCATGCTTGAGCCCAGTAGCAGCTTCTAAGCTTCGGGGAACAATACTTCCAGCCGGATCGGCGTCATCATGATCATCATCATCCTCATCTTCTACCGGCTCTGCCCCAGGCTCCATGATCTTCCCGTCGTGGCCCACATCGATTACATTACCGACCTCAGATGCGACATGCGATCGCGGGAAAAACAATGGGAGCCTGAAATCTTGCAAAGGCCCGAGACCCTAAACCACCCTAAGCCTCAATATATTAGCACCCTACATGCACACGATAACGATTGACTAAATCTACGGAGGTCTATTTTGAATCTTATCGCGATGAATATGTGCATGCAAGCCTCGAAGTACTCCTTCGCCCTCTCGCGATCATCGATCCACTGCATCTTGCGGGCGAACAGTCTCTTCAAGACAGCCGTTTTCTTCGACCTTGGAACAAGAAACCGATCTGATTCTATTTCACATGTATACACGAATATACATAGTACATATATAGGCATGGATGATATAGGGTTTAGGGTTTTGGGTTTTCATGACTCAAACTTGCAAGCGAAGGTCTTAGCGTCCAGAGTCCTCTTCGTCACTCGAGAGATTGCAGCTAGAAGGGCTCGAAGTTTTCCGGCTTCGCCAAAGGCCCAGTCCTGCATAGTCGAAACTTGGAAATATGTAGAAGTCACGAAATTTGCGAGCACCAGGCCTTCACCTGTTGCTTCCCGCCACGTTTTCTCACACCAGGGTGCAAGCCGTGGATGCAGCTTAGGTGGACCAAAGCCACCTTATATTTATTGGATGATCAAACATGTGCCCACACCCGAAAAGAGCAAGGACAACAGCATGAATGACGGGACACTCGAAAGTCGCTGAGAACCGGGATCGAAGAGCCCGTGTCGGGATCCGGAGAGATGCCGTGGCAAATGTAACACTTCAAGAGCTCGTAATTCGCAATCAGATCAGCATCGCAAACCTCGACCATCAGATCGGATCAGAATGGAACAGATCACAACTCGAGGCACCCCCACACCGAAAGTAACAATCCTCGCCTTGGTGCTCGCACGATCCTGCTCGTCAGCAGCTGGGCGATCGCGAACCAGTGGTACTCCCTGGGCAGAAGCTAGTAAGGTGATAGCATTATTAATATATTGCAATGCAACTAAATTTAAACCTAGATGCAGGCTTGGCCCTCAAGGTCTCCAGATTCTGCTCCAAATATGGTCGGATGCCCTTCACGACAAGCTCGGCCGCTTCCTTGTCTCATGTATATATATATATGTTTTACATGTGATCCATATATCATGATTTAGCACGAATGCAGCCACATGCAGCCAAGATCCGTCAGGAAATATTTCATCGGTTGGGTAAACTGGCGCTGGATCCCACAAGCCATGGTGCAAACACGAGCTGTAGCTTAAGCTTGCAAGTGTCAAATGCGAAAAGAAATGCAATTGCATGCATATGCATGTCGACGACATGTTTATTTAAAGTCACATGCATGATCACATGCATGTTCGCATATTATCTGCATGCATATGCATGTCGACGACATGTTTATTTAAGTCACATGCATGATCACGTGCATGGTCGCATGATACCGCAGAGCTTCGAAGCTGCGAAACAATCGCAAATCACAGCAAACAAACAAAATAAAGCACAGCCAGTGGGGCAGTGGGGCGGGAGCACCTTTCGAGTTGCCGGCATACCGCTTTTGGAAGCGAAGAGATGCACGAAGCATTGCACTAATTATTAATTAAGCCTAAGTCGGTTTAGGGTTTAGGGTTTAGGGCTTTAGGGTTTAGAGTTTAGGGTTTTAGGGTTTCGGGTTTAGGGCTTCCAAAAATCCCTTAGTTAAGGAATCTACATTATATCATATTAGGGTTCCTATTATGATCTAAAGTATATTCCTTGATTAAGGGATTTTGGGTTTGTTGAGTTCAAGGATCAACTACATGCGGGGTCTAAGCTTCAGGGTATCTGTATGTACACGTAGGGGGTTTGGGGGATCTAGATCGAGGGCGTAAGGGTTTGGGCTTTCAGCTATGGCTTGATTCCGGCGGGGGGGGGGGGGGGGGGGG